ACAGTTTTCATTCTGGGGTAGATGCTTTGACTTGAGACCATCTCTCTGCTGTTAGGTGGATTTTGCCGACGGCCGAGCGTCGCGTTCACGGTGCCCCACTGCAGCCTTTCCTGGGACGCACCTGCACGGGTCAGCATGCCGTGCATTCACCTGTCGCGGTGTAACCCGGGTGCAGCCCTCTGCTGCGGACAACAGCTGTTGATGTGCAGGTGAAGTTTGTGACTCTGGTTTTGGAGTCAGATTGAGGTGCCAGAAGAGTTTACTGGCTTGGCTGTTGCCACAAAGCTATGGAAGATGCTGTAAGAAAGGAGTGGAAAGCTGGAAGGGAGTCTACCATTTCCAGTGCAAGTCAACAACAAGGAAATTCCAAGTGATTATGTATTCTCTCTGGCATTTAGATAATGTAAGTTCAGATTTCTAGAAGCACTTCATGACTTACAGAAACTAGACTGCAGCTCAGTAAGTAACAAGTTCTTCTTGTGGGGGAAAACTTCTCACAAAGCTCATGGGAAAAATAGAAAAATGTTGTTATAAAATGCTTCCTTGTAGTTCGATTTGCATTATGAGTAGAGACTAAGGTCACAAACATGAAGTTGGTACTGCCTTTTAGAGAAAATTTATTGCAGAAGCTTCATACTGCCTTTACACCAAGTAAAACCTCACAACTTTTTAGAAGGAAAAAAATTCAAGCCGTAAATCAGTCACTAAACAAACTCCTCTGTATTGAGTAGTGAATACTTGTCAACATGCCTGAGTGGCATCTTTCATATGATCTTGTGATCATCACTAATAATGAGAGAGATGGTTCATGTCTCCGCCTCCAGCTGGTGTGCTTTTTTTTTTGAAGGAGAAGGCTAAAAATTGAGTATTTGGGTGCTGCAGGTGAGAAGTGTACTGAAAACCACTTGTGAAGATTTTAATGGGCTTACCCATTGCTCTTACGGTGCTACTTGATTAAGGTAAACACCTTGCTGCACTAAAAAAACGACAGGGGCTTTATAATACTCATTCAAGTTTTAATGTTATTACACCAAAAGTGTCTGCCTAGCTTTCACACTTTCTAGTAAGGCAGAATTTTAAAATCACAGTATTCCCCTCTGCCAAAAGCACATCAAAATGCAATTCAGCTCCATGACAATACTATATAACATAAATAATGTCCTTAGTGTTTAAGGCTATTTAGCAATAAAGACATAGCAGTCTTTATGGCACAGAAAGAGATAAATAGTTTCAACCATT